ACTCATGCCTAGCTATAAGATTTTAGAGAAGTGAGTGTTGAGTGGGAAGAGTTGGTTAGCTGAAAGTGAAGCATAGACTTTAAGAGACTGATTTGTCTTCTGAAATTTTGGGTTGTGTTAGGTGGAGGAGAGCAGGATAAGTACAATGAAGTAAAGCTGGAGAACATTATTTTTCTTCATTACTGACTTAGATATAATAGGAATTTTTGTAATGCTTTCTCACCCTTAAACGTCTTTTTGCTTGAAAATCATAGAAATTGTGTCTAAGGATATATGCTTTGGGATATTTGAACTTTGTTTTTGTTTTAGTTTTTAGTCAGGTGTTGAGTTTATAGTAATTTAGTGCTCAGAGATTTGCCATCTTATGTTTTTATGATGCAGGTGGTATCTTCTATAGTAATATAACCTACTAGTAATGTAGAAAATGTTTGTGTATTTTGTCGACTACTGATTGATCTGTATATGTCTCTTGATGATACAAAAATATATGTGATAATAGCCATGGATTTTTCTTCCCACTACATTTTACAAAGTAAATAATTTGTTGGGTAATTTAGTGTTATTCCTGGAGAATAATAGTGACTAAAATCTTATCAGACCATTAAAGGTGGATACTGAGTTCTAACCTAGATTATTTTTATGAATTAAGCATTTTGTTAGTTTTGCTCTCAAATATAAATTTCAATTTATTTTATGGACATACTATCTTAAATGGTGTAATATTTAAAAGCAGTAGGTTATTTCTTCCTTGAGGAATGTGGCTGCAGAGTTAGCTTTCTTATTCCATTCTACTGAATGAAGATTAGAGAAAAACATTTAGAAATTTCCTTCTATTCAGGTTAAAGAGGGACATGGAGATTGTGTGCTTTTCATTTTTCATTTTAGAAACATTTCTCATTTCCTTTTCCTACACATTGTATTTATTTATTCATATGAAAAGTTTGCCAAGGATTGGCAGCATTATTCTCGTGCATTGTCACTGAAATGGACATAGGAAATAAAAGCTTTCAAGTCTCTTTTAAATCTGGTTTCTCTTTATCTTTTTTGTTTCTATCCATTTACTATGCGTTACATCTGGCATTTGTCTAACTTTACTATCCTTTAGGTACGAGAAACTAACTTTATCAGTGTTATTTCATATATGTTATTTCCTGTCATTGCGTGATAACTTACTCCATTGTGCTCCAGTTGCTGTTGTAGATAAGACTATGTAGTCAAATATTAATCTATCTCAGCATTTCCCAATCAGGGTTATTCATCTGATCCAAGACTGAAAATTATTTGAGCAATGATGTTCTCAATTATCTCAAACATATACAATGGTATATAATTTGTATCATTCTAGTTTCACAGGATAGTTATTTCATTACACCGCAAGAATGTCATAGGGTGGCATTTTTGAAAGTGTACTTCTGCACCCAGATGCTTTTAGAGGTCCACAAGGTTAAAATTATTTTCTTAACAATTCTAAGACATTATTTGCCTTTTAAAATTCTCATTCTCTTTTGTTGTTGTTGTTCTTTGTCTTTTTTATTAAAAATTCCCATTCTCTAACAAGTGTATGCTGGAGTTTTCCAGAACCTACATAATGTGTGCTATTATAAGAGCTTGAATGCAAAAGCAGTAATAGAATCTAATTGTCTTCTATTAAACACATTAAAGACATTTGCAAACATGTAAACAGTGCCATTCTTGCTACATTTTTCTTTTGGAAAATATAATTTTCATAAAAATATATTTTTATGCAACATGTGACGAATTTGTTTTGTGTATAATTAGTAAATAAATACAGGCAGTCCTTACTTTGCATGGTTCTGGTATTTCATAATTTAGTTAAATAATGTCACTCCTACAATAACATGGTTTCAATTTGAATTACCACTGTAATTCAGCTGTGAGTAGGTGCATAAAATACACATTTTGCCACCAGCTCTTTAGTCCACAAGCAACAACATAACTAACAAATACACATCATAATCAGACACCAATAATATCACTTCTTTCAAAGTCTGTAGGATTGGTTCCTATGCATCTGAAAGTGGATAATCAAAAAGAGTGAACTGGCTAACTTGCAGAGATAAAAGTACAGAAAAGACATGGAAAATGATAATGCTCAAAATGAGATTTGCATGAATATAAATGGAGTTAACGAAGAAGTCGTTGTTCATGGGAATGTGCACATTTCTCCTGTTTAAGAGAATCTAGATATACAGCCAAGGGAACTTAATGGAGGCAAATGTTGATAAAAAATGAGGAAAGTTCTTGCGGCGGAAAGGATGAAAATGTCCCAGAGGAAGTGATGCTATCAGAGCACTTCACATTAAAGGGCTTCTCAGAGGTATTTCACAGTACTGGAAGTGTAAAGGAAAACATGTTGGAAGCTGGTTCAAGAAATATGGCAGTTTGTCAAAACACAAAAAGAGGCTTACACTGTATCTTAAGTTATACAATGCGAAGAATGAGGCAAGCATTGTTCAGACTGCTCTTCATAGGTTTCTTACAAAGAAGCAAACACTTGAATTCTCAATGTTTCTAATGTTATAAAGTACAGTGTACTAAATAAATATTTTACTATTTTTCATTTCCCTATATATTATAACTGGCTGTAAGAAAGTTTTTAATGTTTTGAAAAAAATTTATAAAGGCCACAGGATGATTATAATTGTTTCACTAATTGTAAAGATTATTTTGCATGGTTTCAACTTGCAGAGTTACTGTTATGGTCCTGTGCCACTGTCCTAAGTGAGGACTGCCTGTATTTAAAATCTTTTAGTTGGGCCTGGCGTGGTGGCTCAAGCCTGTAATCCCAGCACTTTGGGAGGCTGAGGCGGGTGGATCACGAGGTCAAGAGATCGAGACCATCCTGGTCAACGTGGTGAAACCCCGTCTCTACTAAAAATACAAAAAATTAGCTGAGCATGGTGGCACGTGCCTGTAATCCCAGCTACTCGGGAGGCTGAGGCAGGAGAATTGCCTGAACCTAGGAGGCGGAGATTGTGGTGAGCCAAGATTGCGCCATTGCACTCCAGCCTGGGTAACGAGTGAAACTCCGTCTCAAAAAAAAATAAAAAAAAATAAATAAAATCTTTTAGTTTAATTTCTAGTATGATAAATACTAGATATAACCTATAAAACAAATCTTTCTGTATTTCCCTTTATTCCTGTCTCCTGTATTTTCTGTCCTGATTGAGTAGCATAACTATCAAGACAAAAATCTAAAAACAGTTTGTATTCTTTTATCTCCTTTATAGTTTTTATTTCTAATTATTTAACAGCTCCCTTTATCTTTTTGATTCCCCACTGTCTTAGGTATTAATATACCATCCTTTATAGGATGTGACTAAAAGAGCATGAGGGAGTTGTTTGAGGTGACAGACTGTTTTGTATTCTGATTTTGATGGTGGTTTTATGAATCTATGCATGTTAAAACTCGTAAACTATAGGTTGGGTCTTGCCATTAAAGGACATTTAAACATTTATTTGCCATTCTTTCAAAATAGAGCTTACAGATAAATTAACAGGTACCTACTAAGTACAATGTTCAAGGCATTGTCCTAGGTGCTGAGGGAGATACAAACTTCAGAAAGCATGTTTCTGCCTTGAAGGATTTGTGATCTAATAAGACAGAGATAGACAGCACAAATGATAGCAGTAAGATAAATTGGAATTGTCTCTTATGGGGAATAAATACAAATAAAATGTTAGTTTGTGCTAGGAATATGCAGGTGGCTAATTCTCCATTTAAAAGATGACATTTGAGTAGTTGAGACTTGGAAAACACGTTGATTTTTGACAGTCAAAAATAGAGACGAAGGACATTCTGATAAGGAAAACTATAGCACACTTTACAGATTTGCAGGTTTTCCTATTTATAAGCTCATAAAAACTTTGGATGTTGAAATGGTTTGTCTGTGAACCCATCCAAATCTCGTCTTGTATTGTAGCTCCCATAATTCCCATGTGTAAAGACACATAGAGGGACCCAGTGGTAGGTAATTAAATCATGGGGGCGGGCCTTTCCCATGCTGTTCTTGTAATGAATGTCTTACAAGATTTGAGAGTTTTATAAAGGGGAGTTCCCCTGCATATGCTTTTTTGCCTGCTGCCATGTAAGACAACCCTTACTCTTCCTTCATCTTCTGCCATGATTGTAAAGCCTCCCAGCCATGTGGAACTGTGAGTCAATTAAACCTCTTTCCTTTATAAATTGCTCAGTCTCGGTTATGTGAGAACAGACTAATACAGATGTATATTTCTCATTAATGCTTACAACATATTTTATTCTATTTTGTGCTCAAAAACTCTCAAAAGCATTTGAGTCTGAAGTTCAAATTTCTTACAAGTAGTATTACTGTTTTTGAGTATTGTGGAGTTAGTTTAGTTAGGTCATATTTTTATTTTAATGGCAGTGGGAACAATGATCTATTTCTAAGTCTTAGTTTTGTCAATAGATACTCTATTACTCCTTTTAGCCTGCTTTAACAAATTACCTTAAACCGGGTAACTTATAAACAACAGAAATTTATTGCTCACAGTTTGGAGGCTGGGAAGTCCAAGATCAGGGCACCATCAGATTGGGTGTCTGGTGAGAACCCATTCTGCATGAATGACACCTCCTGTGCGTCCTTACATGCCAGAAGAGGCAAACAAGCTCTCTCAGGCCTCTTTTAAGAGTATACTAATCCTGTACTTGAAAGCTCCTCCCTCATTATCTAATCACCTCCCAAAGGCTCTAACCGAGTAATGCACTAGGGATTAGGTATCAACATGTGAAGTTAAACATTCTGACCAGAGGAGATAGGAAATATGTAAATAAAAAGACTTCTCTTTGTGTACAAATTTCTATTTACACAGTCAATTTGAATAAATGGGGTTTTTAGAATTTATAATCTTATAAAATATTTTTGCAATTCTTCCCCAAATTGCCTTCTTCCCATTTTTTTCATACCTATGGAATGAATCAACTCTGCCTAAAAACAACAATAATCTTTTTTTCATAGGTTTTCTGTGAAGACCTTGATTGATCGGTCTTGCTTTGAGACAATTGATGATTCTTCTCCTGAATTTAACAATTTTGCAGCTATTCTGGAACAGATTTTAAGCCACCGGCTAAAAGGTAATAGCATTAATATACTATTTATTCTCCTACGAGCTGTCTTTATAAGCTTTAATTGTAGAAATCATACAGTCTGTGTGATTTAGATAGCTATCATTCTACAATGTAAGAGAGATAAACCTGATATCAGAATTTCAAATATTTTGACCTGTGTCACTAGAAAAGAATCTCAGTTCCCAGATTTACACCTATTTCTCGGATACATTGAAAATGTTGTGTTAATTGCCACATACAAGGAGAAAAGTGACTTTCCATAAGTAATTAAAATAAAATCTTAAATTGAAAGGAAGCCCATCCCAAAGGTTACTGATAGTATTTTAATCAATTTACAAAGAAGCATTCCAGGTATTATGTTTATTTGTTTAGTATATACTTTCTTAAATGTAGGTATCTTTGAAAATGTTTTAGCAGATAGTAGGTTAAAAAAGAGGTATGTAAAAGCCATGCTTGGATTTGGTTTTCTTAAAAAGTATACTTACATTAGAATTATAATTCTCTTAACAATTTAAAGGAGAACATTGGAGCTATAGTCTCTCTGAATTTTAGATTTTTTAAATTGTATAAAATACAGTTGCTGAAAAGAAGTATTATATAGTATAAATGTTAGTAACAATAAGTAATAACTTCATCACATTAATCCCATTATCTGGTCTTCCTAAAGGAGATTTGATCATCAGATATTTTCACTTAAATTTTTATTATCTTTACAATCTTAATGATATAGTTTCACATCAGTAATAGTAACCTGCTTTGGTAACATATGAGAATCTCAGGTGTAATCTAAAGATTTATTCTATTCTGTACTTTTTGATGCTGAAGACATCCAGGTTTTAGTATAAGCATTTAAATGAGTTGAGCAGTACAGTTGGCCCAGAGCAAAGGGTTGAATTTAAATTACATGGAACAAAAAAAAAACATGATTTGCTTAACCCTCAGCAATTTAAAATGGGGTTTCTAAAATTACTAATGCTTTTTCTATTAAAAGTTGGTTGTTTTGCATTTTTGAAGGGTTGTTTTTGTCTTATTTTTGCCATTCTGTGTTTCCTAAATTTTCTGCCATTAGTGTTACCTTTTATAAGAAAATTAATTTTTATAAAAGCAAAGAATATGGAAGTATTTTGATATATTATCAGATACTGTATTGTGTGATGATCGTAATTCTATGCATAAATTTATAAATAATGGCTGACTAAACAGCATATGGAATGCAGTAGACTCTGATGTACCTTGATGTTCAGAAGAATTTTACCTTAAAACCTAATTCCCTTCATCTGGTATACCATTTAGCTTTTGATTCTCTCACAAAAACTATCAACAGAAATCTATCAATAACAAACAAACAATAAGGCTATGTTGAGACTTTCATACCAAGTGGTTGGGCAGACTCACTGCTATGTAAGTGGATGCCTCCTGCACACCAATCTGCCATCTTCTGAGTTGTGCCTCAGCAAAATATAGATTACACATCTCCAGAATTATTTCTAAATAATTGAATCCATTAATGTTTTTTCTGAATAGTACTATAATGAAAATAGAATCCTTAGCTGATTTATAGACATGAATTCTACTTGTGTGACTAAGATATGGTAAGAAAGCTGACACAGTAAGATTTGTGTTAATTTTTTAAGCCCGGTAAGATAATTAAAAACATGTTTTTAAACAATTTCTGTAAATTGACTATTGTGGTCACTGAGTAACATATATATATATATATTATGAATTTTAAAATAATCCATACCTTTTGAGATGTGGTATTTTAAAGATGCAAGCATGTGGGATTTTCATATATTATTTCCTATTTAGTATTTCAATATATAACAAATTGCTTTTACTTTTGGAGAATTCATATGATTATTTTGATAGTATACTCTTCTCATGATTTAGTTATACAGCAATTAATTTTTCCAGTTTTCCTTTATAGAAATACAAATTAAAATGTTATAATTTCGTGTGTTTTTAAGATTTACTTTTCTACAGCTACTGCTTATTTCTGAAGTAAAAGGACATTTGGTTTAAACATTAAACTTTTCCAGAGAAAGATAAACTCTCCCCAAGATACACTATAGGCTGTGCTGATACAGGCAAAGTGAAGAGCTGAGACAGTTACTTCACTCTAAAAGCCCCATTATTGAAGAAAAGGAGGGTTTTAAAATCATATAAAAATACATTAATCTTATTTGCAGTAATCTCTCAATAAGATGTTGATCTTAATTTCCTACAACATAGCTGACAAATAGGAATTAATAACATAATGTTAGAATTTTGAACATTTATTTACTTATTTAAAGCATAATACTTCTCTCCACTGTACCCTACCACTCCTAATAAAAGCCACTGCAAAAGCTGGATATATGTGCAGAACATTTTATTGAAGCCAGGATGGAGAAGTCAGGTATTTTGCCTGCTCAGCAACAATTGCAACCTATTCAAAACTCGATAGTACCACTTCAGGGAGCACAAAGGATCACAGATTGAGACTATATTCTAGCCTCTTTCCTGCTGAGGCAATCTGCTCAACAGTATTTCCAACAGGTGGACATACAGTCTTTGCCTTAACACTTCTGATCTTTGAGAACTAAATAAAGCAGTCCACCACATTTTTTGGATAGGCTAGATTACTTGAAAATTCTTATGTATATGAAACCAGCCTATCATATTGTGTTTTGATCTTTTCTGCTGTTTTTTTTCAAATGTGAGCCTAATACTAATAAATATTAAAATATAGCTATTATATAATCATTTTCCCAAGTTTCCTCTCTTCTTTCTCTCACGTAAAGTATCCCTAGTTTCTTTAACCATCCGGAACCACAACAGTCTTACTTAGTCTGATTTATCACTGATTTGTTAGTATTACTCTTAAAAGTCTGGTTCTCAGAGCTGAGTAAAGTGCTTCAGATAGGCTAAACTCTGTATTAGTCAGAATTCAAGATTACATAGACTTTTAGTTCACATTGAAATTGAGGCTGAGTAAAAGCTCAAGGCTTTTAAAAAATTGAACTAGATCTTACATTGTAGTTCTCTAAATTAGTTTGCCTGAGCTGAAGTTTGCAGTATTTTTTCCTTCTTCATCCACTTCAGATATTGCAATATAAATAAATGGAAAGATATATGTGTTCATTGATTGGAAAAATTAATATTGTTAAAATGTTTATTTAACAATCAACCCAAAGTAGTCTACAGGTTTAGTGAAATCTCTCTCAAAATTTCAGTGTCATTTTCCACAGAAATAAAAAAGACAATCCTGAACTTAATATGGAACCACAAAAGACCCTAAATAACCAAAGCAATCTTGAACAAAAAGAACAAAGCTGGAGGTATTGAAATACTTGACTTCAAAATATACAGCAAAGCTGTGTTAGTTAAAACAGGATGTTACTAGCATTAAAACAGACAAATAAACTAATAGAATATAATAGAGAACCCATAAATAAATCCATGCATTTATGATCTATTAATTTTCAACAAAGGTGCTAAAACACACACTAGGGGAAGGACAGTCTCTTTAATAAATAGTGTTGAGACAACTGGTTGGCCACATGTAGAAAAATGAAATTAGATCCTTCACACCATAGTAGAAAATCAACTCAAAATGCATTAGAGACTTAAATGTAAGATATACCTACTACAACTATAAAATTACTAGAAGAAAACATAGGGAAAAAGCTCCATAACATTGATCTGGGTGATGACATTTTTGGATTTGACAACAAAATCACAAGCAACAAAAGAAAAATAAACAAGTGGAATTACATCATTAGAGTAAAGAAAGAATTTATAAAAAGGGATATACTTGATAAGGTATATCAAGTATACCTTTTACCTGATAAGGGGCTAATATCCAAAAACCATATATCTGATAAGGGGCTAATATCCAAAATTTATTAAGAACTCAAAGTAATAGTAAGAAAATAAGTAGCCTGATTTAGACAAAGAACCAGAATAGACATTCCCAAAAGAAGACATGCAAATGGCCAATATGTATATGAAAAGGTGCTCAGAACCACTACAGAGCAAATAAATGAAAATTAAAACCATAGTGAGACACCCCCTTATACCTGTTAGAATGCATATTATCAAATAGCCAAAAGATAACAAGCGCTGGAGAAGATGTAGAGAAAACAGAACACTTGCACACTTGGTTTAGGAATGTAAATTAAGAACAGCCATTACAGAAAATAGTATGGAGGTTCCTAAAAAAATTAAAAATAGAACTACCATTAGTCTTCTATGTGATTAAAAAAAAATAAAAACAGGACTGCCATGTAACCCACCAATCTCACTTCTAGGTGTATAGCCAAAGGAAATGAAATCAGTGTCTTGAAGAGTTATCTCTACTCCCCATGCTCATTGAAGGATTATTCACACTAGCCAAGATAAGGAATCAGCCTTACTGTCCATCTACTGAGGAGTCAATTAAAAAAATGTTGCATATGTAAACAATGGAATGCTATTCAGCCTTTAAAAAGAAAAAAAATACTGTCATGTGACAACATGGATGACCTGGAAGACATTATGTTGAGTGAAATAAAACAGACACATAAAGACAAATACTGCATGACTTCCTTATGTGTGGCATCTAAAAAAGTTGAAATCATAGAAGTAGATGTAGAATGATGGTTACCATGTGCTAGAGGGAGAGGGATCAGAGAGATGTTGGTTAAAGGATATAAAGATTCAATTAAATAGAAATAAGTTCTAGAGATATATTATACAAAATGGTGACTATAGTTAAAGTGTATTGGATATTTGAAAATTCCTGGGCTGGGTGCAGTGGCTCAGGCCTGTAATCCCAACACTTTGGGAGGCCAAGGCAGGTGGATCACAAGGTCAAGAGATCAAGACCATCCTGGTCAACATGGTGAAACCCCGTCTCTACTAAAAATACAGAAAATTAGCTGGGCATGGTGGCGTGTGCCTGTAATCCCAGTTACTCAGGAGGCTGAGGCAGGAGAATTGCCTGAACCCAGGAGGCAGAGATTGCAGTAAGCCAAGATTGCGCT